CCATTTTGTATCCCTTGTGATGAGAGAATCACGGTCAAGCATGTCCTGCTTTACTGTATTGATTTTGCCATCACAAGGGATCAATATTTCAAAGCATCATCTATTAAGGATCTTTTAAATAAACTCACTCAGTCATTTAATTATAGGTTTTTTAAAAGAAATTCAACTTTTTGATAAATTTTGAATTGTGTAAATAGCTATATTATATATTGGTAATATATAATTTGTAACTTGGATTGTCAGTGGCTATATTCTCAAAGGGGGTTGAAGTAGCATAAAATTATTGTCCCCCTGAGAGGATATGTAAGACCACATCATTCAAAGTACATTTATTCTTATCTCGATTTTAAACGTAGTATATTTGTTTATTTTAACGGTTTGCTAAATTGCATACCATTACCAGCATCTGAAGGGTCGGCGTAAATCCTGCTGGGGAGCCGTGCAGGTAGCAGAAGTAATGTAAGTCCCCTCGGTCCCTTTTAAGATGGCCTAACTTTGGTTGCTGGTGATCAATAGCCCATTTTTATATTGTATTGTTGATTATAATTGTATTGTTTTAACTGTTCTCAAATAGTTTTACAATTGAAACTGTTATATTCTAGTTATCTTACTGTCCATTGTTGACAGCTTTTTATTAAATCAAAATATAATTATTATAACTGTTTCGTCGCGATATGGCTGAAATACTGCCGATGTGACGTTAAATTTCACTCACTCACTCACACAATTTATGAATCGAGTAATAACCGGGCCGAGATGTAATTGTGGTATGATACTGTCCCACGTCCTCCCAGCATGATCAGTGAGTATGGATTAATGCTGCTTTGGACATTAATTAGTTACAATATGACGTGTCAGCCTCTTCCGGTAGGAAAGCTCGAAGTAATACATACCTAAGACATTTACCACATTTGTGAAACGCACGGGTACAAGAATGGTAATTCAAACCTTTGCATGTTTGCACATCTACAGGAAGCACACCTACTTTCCGAGCGTACAATAGTGATGTGGAGCTAATTCTACAATGTTAACCGGTCTATGCGCCACTTCATATACCACACCATTGACTGTATATCAAAGACAAATATACACTTTGAATACATTGCCACTTCATGTATTTTCCATTCACTTAGTCTCAATATGCTGCCGTAGAATAAAATATATGCGTACTGTACACTTAATTTCATGTGCTACCTCCAATGTTTGATCAAGCCCTTGAATGGCCCCTTCTTTTGGGGGGCCAGGGGCCACACGCAGCAGGGGCTCCCCGGCAGACATCCATATATGAATATGTTGGGTGACACAGTAAATGTTCCTGTGTTCGGATATTGGTACCTTGTTCGTTTATCCAAAGTGCTCTGGGCTGCCGGTCTATAATGCTAAATTCCCAAATTAACTTATACGTATTGACTTTCGTTTTCTTTGATTCCTATCTTTTCCGTCACTGGGAGATGGAAAAGCTCAACAGGGCATCACATTTGTCCTACACAGGATTTCATTATACTGTTGTCAGTTTCGATATCGGGGATTCGATATTGGGAGCTAGCCCTGAGACAAAAGAGAACTTTCAGTTTATTCAAGCATGTGCGTTGACATTTAATTCCCAAAACATTAAGTCATATAAAATAATCACATACAATGCTAATGATAATGATACTAATATCCTGATACAGTTTCAATGTATATCTGGGAATAAAAGCAATGTATATAATTTTGGAGGAATTATGGTAAATGCGCACAGAATGAATATACAAAGTATGCAACAGTTATGTCTGTAATGATAAATAACCTTCCTTTTCAGATAATATTGACTGATCATAACATCTTCATGCAGCAGGTATGGTACAATGTACATGACAATCCTATGTGTGACATGTCATACCTATTTGGTTGAGCACGGTAAAGGAATTATGACTGTCTAAATATTAATTTGATTGATAAAACTACATACGTAGAGCATATACGGTAAACTGCGCAAGATGAGAAACATGATATTCACTCATGTCAGGATGGTAAATATTAATACCAGTAGTATTGGTAATAATTTATACACGTACAACATAATAATTTCGGCAAATACTTTAGTATAAGCAGGGAGATTGATCTGATTTAAGATACGAAGGTAGAAGGTAAAATCTACAGCTCCGTTTCAGTGATAGAATCGTAAGTTTCAGAAATAATTATGTTGGTGACAATGGTAATGTATTATGAAGCCGTTGTTGCTATTGACTACGTGCAGTTGCTATATATACAGAGCTAGACATCATCGTGTAATTGAGAGAATATGGTAAGTGTATATTCAAAGAATGCGGGTTTGAAAGTACATTTTTGTGAAATATGACAGAAAACACCTAATTTAAATTAATATGACTACGGTAATGAAATTCATGTATGGGCTGTGCTGTAACATTTGTAACTGTTTTAGTAATGCAACTTTGTATAATATCAAAATCCTTATACATAATGAGTGAATGAATTTTACGCCGCGTTTAGCAATATTCCAGCAATATCACGGCGGGGGACACCAGAAATGGGCTTCACACATTGTATCCATGTCGGGAATCGAACCCGGGTCTTCGGCGTGACGAACGCTTAAACCACTAGGCTACCTGACCGCCCCTTATACATAATGACAAAAACATAATAATACAAAATGTGTGGCTCTTATAGCCTTTTCTGTAAGCGTGTTTAGTTGGTAAATCTACTCATACAACATTTGATGGGCAACATTGCTTGAAGTAGCTGTGTTAACTCCAGGCAGCGTTTTGTTACTAAGTTACATTTAGGCAACGCCAATGTACGTATAACAAGATTTTATACACGTATAGTATGTTGAACAGGTAATAATAGACATAGACTGGGAAAATAGTCGCAGGTGTTGAAATATAGTACAGGAATATTGGCGTTGTACATTAAAGACAGATAAACTGGAGAAACATACGAGGCAATACACATAAAACATCATTGGAAAGTGTTTGCGTATTACAAGGTTAAGATATCAATATCATGTTAGAACTAACATGAGAGCTTGAGAATACCACAGTCCCCGATTCAATGTTAAGTCTAACATTTTCAATACAATAATAACAATGAAACAAGAGAGAAGAGATGTGTGAGTTCCTTTGGTTTATTCAAGCAAGTGTGCCTGAGAGTTTCTCTCAGATATTCATGATTAGGTGGTTAAACAAATAGTGGAAAGTGTCCACGTATTACAAGGTAAAGATATCAATATCAACCATTTAGAACTAACATGTATTTGTACAGATTAGATTGAGCATGAAAATACCACAGTACAGATTCAAACTGAACTCGAACATTTTCTTTACAATAATAACAATGAGACAAGTGAGGAGAGATGTGTGAGTTCCTTGGGTTTATTGAAGCAAGTGTGCCTGAGACTGAAACCCAAAGGAGATGTTGGTGATTAGGTGGTTAAACACATATGTGCTGGCAAGGTAATACTTTTCAGCGATCGACCAAGTTTGTTATGAGAGAAGAAAGGGTTTTTTTATTGCCAAAAACCATACTTTTCAGTGCTTCACCACGTCTTGTACGAGAGAAGAATGGGTTTGTTAGACAGTAATCTCGTTATTGACTTTAATTACGTTTTAGCCCATATTTAAAATTATGCATGTTGGGAAGGGAATACACATCAACACTTGACCATGGCATTTACACGTGAAGGAAGGAGGGAGCTGACAATGATGCGGTGCCTGCTGACCGTATCTTTGATTATGTACTTTAACGTTCGCGTGTATTTCTTTACTAAATGACTGTCACTGCGTTTCACTAGTGGCATCGTATACCACTGTGGCTAGTGATTTGCGATTTAAAGTTAATTTGTGAAAAATATAAAATAACTGTATGCGCTGTAACACTACTTTTAAGATCTTTAAATCATCGTTGCGATAAGATATTTGTGCTTTGTCAAATGGGTGAATGTAACACCACATTCAACGCACCTTTCGCTTTGACGTGGTAAATAGTCGAGTCTCCATCGACAACATAAGCAACGCCCTCGGGCTACGTTGACTTGCAATCAGCCAAGTCACATAATCTAGTGTGGTTGACTCTTGCAAAAGCAATATAATGCTTTAGAATATTTTACCCTCTCTTGCTTATGTGGTGATGAAGTTGTCAAATCAGCTGTCTTTACAGAAGATTGTTATGATTTGGTACTTCCGACTGACCATTTAGAATAGAGTAATTTCTGAAATTCATGGCAGAATGTATGACAGTATATTTTTACGTTACGCGATGAAGCTGCACATACATGATTATCTCAATATAAGGGAAAATATTACAATTACTATACTTTGCAACAATGTACCAATATTATACATTGGTTGTTATGTGCATGGCATTGTATCTTTTAACAGAACACACAAGATCACTTACCCATACCTCATTGTATACACACACTTTGCTTATATATACACCATCACAGTAAACCATAAAGCCCTCAGATATCAGACGTCAGCGTTGTGTCTTAATTATTCATATTTTTTTTAGAGAACATAGCAAAAGCTGTACAATATATCGGTCATTATACTTAAGGTATCGTATCAAGGATACTATAAGATATAATACAAGGTCAATTTACCATATATATGAAAAACACACAAACTATGATATGATATACAATATCACAATACATCGAAAAGATTTATGCCACAAATATAAAGCTCAAAAGATATCAGATGCTGATGTAGTCTCTAATACTTTGCATCATTTCACAGAACATACAAGGTCATTTTCCCATACCTTATTAACAGCAAAAGCTGTTCTTTTATACAGACACAAATACGGTAAGATGACCACAAATAATAACCCCAAATCCATCTCATTGCTGTGTATAAGTAGTATGCAGTCGTCATGTTTGCATAAGAACGAAGACTGTTACACATGATACAATTCCAGTTATCACAAATACAGAAAATATAATATTTTCAATTCGTTTCCAAACGCAGTTAATCTTTGTTTTGGTCCCATCCTCTGACCTTTCAGTCTTCGGGTCCACTGCCTTATCTCTGTTGTTTGGCCTCAGCTTCAGAAGAACTACCGTACAGGCGATTGACAGAGCTGACAATATGAGCTGTCCTCCAATAAACATCCCAAATATAGGCATTGTGAGGGAGTTAGCGGGGATGCTACCAAAGATGACACTCAGCATAACGGAGTAGAAAAGCATCAGTGTCGTGGCCAATCCAACTTTCTCCCCACTCTCAGCCGGCAACAGGAACACGAAGGGGTTCAAAAAGGAGGTTACAACAGCAGGTAATATCAAGCTGACTAAGTAATACTCTCGTCGCCGTCGGATGTTCAGAGTCACAACAATAACGTTCCGTTGCTTCCTGTCTTGATCCAGCTTACCTAATACGGAAATAATCTCCCATTGTCCATTTTCCTTTATTGAGGGTTCAACAAGAACTTTCGTCTCAACAATTTGTGTGTGTGTGGTCTCATAAACCCATATCACAGCTGTAATAACACATGTTTGATTGTCAAATGGAAATCTTGTTGTGTCTATTGAACACTGGGTATTTCCGGTGAAGTTAGGAATCCATTTTACAGTCCCGTTTGATTTAATGTTAGCTAAGTAATTCTCCGCTTTCAGGTAAAGGTTTGTTCTCAAGGCTTTAGGGATGGCGATTTCAGGAATCCATATCTGTGTATCTGGGACAAATATTTCATGCAGACCTGGAAATTCGGTTTCATTCCACGATAAGGCTTTATCCACCCATTTTACAATGAAATACATCCCTGTTGACAACATCTGATTCTTCTCATCCAAATCTAGGAGGTAATTCAACACCACATCCACAGATACATTCACAGCTTCGCCTACATCTCCAGGCAGGACATGTTTATTATAGTTGTTGAAAATATGCTGGTGTAATGATGCTTCCATGCTGCTTCCTTGAACACAGTAAAGACCAAAATAGATTCCAACAATGACACATAACATGTTGAATCGCGGAACAGACACTGTTACTGACAAATGTGAATGAAATAACTCGTGCTTAAAGCCTCAAGCACAACTGGGCAGATTAAAGCCAGTGGTAATTATGGGTAGTTTGTCGTGCTGATAGAAATCCATATGATAACATTTGTCTTCTCGTTGTCACATCGACATTGATTTCACACATCATGATGTGACTATGAAGCATTGTGTAAACATCAATGCATTTGATTTAAATAGGAAAAAGATTAAACACCCTTTTTCTACTCAGGAATATAATGTTTGGCATGGCAATCAAATATTTGACTGTGACATTAAGGAGCAGATTAGGACATATGTCAGAAATATCAATATATGTCATTATGAAGCATCTGTAAACCAACTGCCTGTTTCTGATAACATTAGCATGTTTTCAAACTTGGTATTTAATGTCTATTAATCGTAAAAGATGTCCGCTGGTCCAAATGTACAACCGATTCTTTTTCTTTTATTACATATTCTATTCCCAGCAAAGCCAATATTCAACCAATTATAAATCGAGTAAAAACCGGGCCGAGATGTAGTTGTGGTATGATACTGTCCAACGTCCTCCCAGCATGATCAGTGAGTATGGATTAATGCTGCTTTGGACATTAATTAGTTACAATATGACGTGTCAGCCTCTTCCGGTAGAAAAGCTCGAAGTAATACATACCTAAGACATTTACCACATTTGTGAAACGCACGGGTACAAGAATGGTAATTCGAACCTTTGCATGTTTGCACGTCTACAGGAAGCACACCTACTTTCCGAGCGTACAATAGTGATGTGGAGCTATAATGTACAATGTTAACCGGTCTATGCGCCACTTCATATACCACACCATTGACTGTATATCAAAGACAAATATACACTTTGAATACATTGCCACTTCATGTATTTTCCATTCACTTAGTCTCTATATGCTGCCGTAGAATAAAATATATGCGTACTGTACACTTAATTTCATGTGCTACCTCCAATGTTTGATCAAGCGCGAGAATGGTAATACGAACCTTCGTGTTTGCACGTCCACAGGATGCACACCTACTTCCGAGCGAACGTGGCTTGCATAGTGATGTAGTGCTTTATTGAACAATGTTAACCGGTCTATGCGCCACTTCATAAACCACACATTTGACTTTATATCAAAGACTGAAATACACTTTGAATAGAGTGCCAGTGCACGTATTTTCCAATCACTTAGGCTTCATATGCTGCCGTAGAGTAAAATATGTGGTACTGTGGTGATTACAATGTCCTTCTGGGCGGTCGGGTAGCCTGGTGGTTAAAGCGTTCATCACGCTGATCACTCGGGTTCGATTCCCCACATGAGTACAAGTTGTAAAGCCCATTTCGGGCGTCCCCGGCCGTGATATTGCTGGAATATTGCTAAAAGCGGCATAAAACCATTCTCACTCAATCAATCACTAACTCAATGTCCTTTTATTATTCATAAGTCCGCTTTATCCATTGAGTACACCTATCATTCCGTGCCGCGTCCTTGGTGTAGTGGAAAGAGCGTCTGCCCGGAGAGCAGAAGGTCGGGGGTTGGATCCCCGAACACACCATACCAAATGCCCTTAGAGGATGGCACTTGTTGTTACCCAGCCAGCCTGGTGCCGCAAAGGACTGGTTGGCTCAGAAAACAGTGTCTGAATAATTATGAACGCGACGTTACACCTCATCATTAGGGAGGTGGGATAGCCTAGTGGTTAGAAGGTTCGATCGAGATGCCAGAGGCCCGGGTTTAATTCCCCATATGGGTTCTATGTGTGAAGCCCACTTCCATGACATTGCGGGAACATTGCTAAAAGTGGCGTAAAACCGTACTCACTCACTCATTTACCAAGAACTGGAGCCTGATAAGGTGGATGGCAGAAAGCGAACACACAACCTACTGGCCTACAAAAACACCTTATTGACTGCATGGATTACACTGATTCGTGGGTTAAATTTTCATATCACAGTAAATATTGACGCATTATCTACATTTTTCTCGTTGAAGTTGTTCTCTTGGCGTCTAAATGGTTGGCTTCACTACGGCTGTACACGGTGATATCACTTCAGTTATTACGATCGAATCAAGTCAAATTGCGAAGTACCCTGGACGATATGGGTTGTTTGTCATTGCTTTCAGGTGTAACATATTAATGGGTCTGGCGTTGTTTCTGTGGAAACCACAAAGTGACATCATTGGGAATATTTTCCCATTTCCACCCATGTTTTTTTGGTCAAAACGTAACTCCTGATAAGACGAACTCCTTTTGCGTTCTGCTTTTGACAAGCACAAATGTCGGGATTCCGTTTTGTATATATTTTAGTCAATGTGTAAAATCAGCCAATGTGTGATATGACTGAAAGTTTCTACTGAGGTAATTTGCAAACCGCCAAAATATTTCAGTCATTTTACAATTATTTTGCCGTCATATTGAGGTAACGGGTGTAACATATTAATGGGACTGACTTTGTTTCTGTGGAAACCACAAAGTGACATCATTGCATCTTTCGTCGCCATTCTGATAATATAGGGAGTAGTGGTTGGAATATTCCATGCCAAGTTTAACTAAGTTTTCCCATTTCTACCCATGTTTTTATTGTCAAAACGTAACTCCTCATTAGGCGTGAACAAGCACACATGTCGGGATTCTGTTTTTGTATATGTTACAGTCAATGTGTAAAATCAGTCAATGTGTAATATCACTGAAAGTTTCACTGAGGTAATTTGCAAAACGCCAAAACATTTCATTTTACAATAATTTTGCCGTCATATTGACTAAAAGTTATAAAGAAGTTCAACATGACAATAGAATCTTAATGCTAATTCCCCAAATTAACTTAAACATACTGACTTTCGTTTTCTTTGATTCCTATCTTTTCCGTCACTGGGAGATGGAAAAGCTCAACAGGCCATCACATTTGTCCTACACAGGATTTCATTATACTGTTGTCATTTCCGATATCGGAGATTTGATATAGAGGGCTAGCCCTGAGACAAAAGAGAGCTTTTAGTTTATTCAAGCATGTGCGTTGAAATTTAATTCCCAAAACATTAATTCATATATGATGACATAGAATGCTAATGCTTATAATAATGGTAATAATAATGCTAATAATAATAATGATAATGCTAATATTAATAATAATAATAATAATAATAATAATAATAATAATATCCTGACACAGTTTCAATGTATGTCTGGGAATAAAAGCAATGTATATGATGCTGGAGAATTATGGTAAATGCGCACAGAACCATTATACAAAGTATGCAACAGTTACTGTCGTAATGTCTGTAATGATAAATAACCTTCCTTTTCAGATAAATTGACTGATCATAACATCTTCATGCAGCAGGTATGGTACAATGTACATGACAATCCTATGTGTGACATGTCATACCTATTTGGTTGAGCACGGTAAAGGATTTATGACTGTCTAAATATTAATTTGATTGATAAAACTACATACGTAGAACATATACGGTAAACTGCGCAAGATGAGAAAGATGATATTTACTCTTGTCAGGATGGTAAATATTAATACCAGTAGTATTGGTAATAATTTGTACACGTACAACATAATAATTTCGGCAAATTCTTTAGTATAAGCAGGGAGATTGATCTGATTTAAGATACGAAGGTAGAAGGTAAAAACTATAGCTCCGTTTCAGTGATAGAATCGTAAGTTTCAGTAATAATTATGTTGGTGACAATGGTAATGTATTATGAAGCCGATGTTGCTATTGACTACGTGCAGTTGCTATAGATGCTGAGCTAGACATCATCATGAAATTGAGAGAATATTGTAAGTGTATATTTAAACAATGCGGGTTTGAAAGTACATTTTTGTGAAATATGACAGAAAACACCTAATTTAAATTAATATGACTACTGTAATGAAATTCATGTATAGGCTGTGCTGTACCATTTGTAACTGTTTGAGTAATGTAACTTTGTATAATATCAAAATCCTTATACATAATGAGTGAATGAATTTTACGCCGCGTTTAGCAATATTCCAGCAATATCACGGCGGGCGACACCAGAAATGGGCTTCACACATTGTACCCATGTCGGGAATCGAACCCGGGTCTTCGGCGTGACGAGCGAACGCTTAAACCACTAGGCTACCCGACCGCCCCTTATACATAATGACAAAAACATAAAAATACAAAATGTGTTGCTCTTAATAGCCTATTCTGTAAGCGTGTTTAGTTGGTAAATCTACTCATACAACATTTGATGGGCACCATTCTTTGAAGTAGCTGTGTTAACTCCAGGCAGCGTTTTGTTACTAAGTTACATTTAGGCAACGCCAATGTACGTATAACAAGATTTTATACACGTATAGTATGTTGAACAGGTAATAATAGACATAGACTGGGAAAATAGTCGCAGGTGTTGAAATATAGTACAGGAATATTTGCTTTGTACATTAAAGACAGATAAACTGGAGAAACATACGAGGCAATACACATAAAACATCATTGGAAAATATCTGCGTATTACAAGGTAAAGATATCAATATCATGTTAGAACTAACATGAGAGCTTGAGAATACCACAGTCCCCGATTCAATGTTAACTCTAACATTTTCAATACAATAATAACAATGAAACAAGAGAGGAGAGATGTGTGAGTTCCTTGGGTTTATTCAAGCAAGTGTGCCTGAGAGTTTCTCTCAGATGTTCATGATAAGGTGGTTAAACAAATATCTGCTGGCAAGGGAATACTTTTCAGCGATCGACCAAGTTTGTTATGAGTGAAGAAGGGGTTTGTTATTGCTAAATAACACACTTGTCAGTGCTTCACCACGTCTTGTACGAGAGATCAGTGGGTTTGTTAGACAGTAATCTCGTTAATTGACTTTAATTACGTTTTAGCCCATATTTTAAATCGTGGCTGTTGAGAAGGGAATACACATCAACACTTGACCATGGCATTTACACGGTGCCTGCTGACCGTATCTATGATCATGTAATTTAACGTTCGCGTGTATGTCTTTACTAAGTGAGTCACTGCATTTGACTAGTTGCACTATGAGCGACGTATACAGCTGTGGCTAGTGATCTGTGATTTTAACATTTCCTCTGTTAAGGTTAATTTGTGAAAAATATAAAAAATTAATAACTATATGCGCTGTTACACTACTTTTAAAATCTTTAAACGCTCGCTGCGACAAGATATTTCTGCTTTTCGAAATGGGTGAATGTAACACCAAATTCAACACACTTCTAGCTTTGGATTGGTAAATAGTCGAGTCTTCATCGAAAACATAAGCAACGCCCTCGGGCTTCGTTGAGACACAATCGGCCAAGTGACATAATCTAGTGTGGTTGACTCTTGCAAGCAGCAATATAATGCTTGAGAATATTATACCCTCTCTCGCTTATGTGGTGATGAAGCCGTCAAATCAGCTGTCTCCACTGAAGATTATTATGATTTGATACCTCCGACTGACCATTTAGAATAGAGTAATTTCTGAAATTCATGCAGAATGTACGACAGTATATTTTTACGTTACGCGATGAAACTGCACATACATGATTATCTCAATATAAGAGAAAATATTACATTTACCACACTTAGCAACAAAGTACCAATATTATACATTGGTTGTTATGCGCATGGCATACAAGATCACTTCACAATACCTCATTGAAAACACACACTTAGCTTATATATACACCATCACAGTACACCCAGAAGACCTAACAATAGTAATAGGCAAAAAAATATAGCCCTCAGATATCAGACGTCAGCGTAGTGTCTTAATTATTCATATTATTTGACAAAATATAGCAAAAGCTGTACAATATATCGGTCATTATACTAAAGGTATCGTATCAAGGATACTATAAGATATCACACAAGGTCAATTTACCATATATTAGAAAAACCCACAAACTATGATATTATATACAATATCACAATACATCGAAAAGATTTATGCCACAAATATAAAGCTCAAAAGATATCAGATGCTGATGTAGTCTCTAATCCTTTGCATCATTTCACAGAACATACAAGGTCACTTTCCCATACCTTATTAACAGCAAAAGCTGTTCTTTTATACAGACACCAATACGGTAAGATGACCACAAATAATAACCCCAAATCCATCTCATTGCTGTGTATAAGTAGTATGCACTCGTCATGTTTGCATTAGAACGAAGACTGTTACACATAATACAATTCCAGTTATTACAAAAACAGAAAATAAAATATTTTCAATTCGTTTCCAAACGCAGTTAATCTTTGTTTTGTTCCCATCCTCTGGCCTTTCAGTCTTCGGGTCCACTGCCTCATCTCTGTTGTTTGGCCTCAGCTTCAGAAGTACTACCGTACAGGCGATTGATAGAGCTGACAATATGAGCTGTCCTCCAATAAACATCCCAAATATAGGCATGGTCAGGGAGTTAGCGGGGATGCTACCAAAAATGACGCTCAGCATGACGGAGTAGAAAAGCATCAGTGTCGTGGCCAATCCCACTTTCTCCCCACTCTCAGCCGGCAACAGGAACACGAAGGGGTTCAAAAAGGAGGTTACAACAGCAGGTAATATCAAGCTGACCAAGTAATACTCTCGTCGCCGTCGGATGTTCAGAGTCACAACAATACCGTTCCGTTGCTTCCTGTCTGGAACCAGCTTTCCTAATACGGAACTAACCTCCCATTGTCCATTTTCCTTTACTGAGGGTTCAACAAGAACTTTCGTCTCAACAATTTGTGTTTGTTTGGTCTCATATACCCATACCGAAGCAGTAATAAGACATGTTTGATTGTCAAATGGAAATCTTGTTGTGTCTATTGAACACTGGGTATTTCCGGTGAAGTTAGGAACCCATTTTACAGTTCCATTTGATTTAATGTTAGCTAAGTAATTCTCCGCTTTCAGGTAAAGGTTTGTTCTCAAGGCTTTAGGGATGGCGATTTCAGGAATCCATATCTGTGTATCTGGGACAAATATTTCATGCAGACCTGGAAATTCGGTTTCATTCCACGATAAGGCTTTATCCACCCATTTAACAATAAAATGCATCCCTGTTGACAACATCTGATTCTTCTCATCCAAACCTAGGAGGTAATCCAACACCACATCCACAGATATATTCACAGCTTCGCCTACATCTCCAGGCCGGACACGTTTATTATAGTTGTTGAAAATATGCTGGTGTAATGATGCTTCCATGCTGCTTCCTTGAACACAGTAAAGACCAAAATAGATTCCAACAATGACACATAACATGTTGAAGTAAGGAAAAGATGGTGTTACTGACAAATGTGAATGAAATAACTCGTGCTTAAAGCCCCAAGCACAACTGGGCGGATTAAAGTCAGTGGTAATTATGGGTAGTTTGTCGTGTTGATAGAAATACATATGATTACATATGTCTTCTCGTTGTCACAACGACATTGATTTCACACATCACGATGTCACTATGAAGCATTGTGTAAACATCAATGCATTTGATTTAAGTAGGAAAAAGATTAAACACCCTTTATCTACTCAGGAATATAACGTCTAGCATGATGATCAAATATTTGACTGTGACATTAACGAGTAGATTAGAGGTGTGTCAGAAATATCAATGTATTTCATTATCAAGCATTAGTAAACCAACCGCTTGTTTCTGATAACATCAGCATGTTTTCCAAATGTGGTATTTTATGTCTAGTTAGTCCAAATGTATAACTGTTTTTTGTTGTTTTATTACATATTCTATTGCCAGCAAAGCCAATATTTAACCATTTATGAATCGAGTAACAACCGGGCCGAGATGTAGTTGTGTCATGATACTGTCCCACGTCCTCCCAGCATGATCAGTGAGTATGGATTAATGCTGCTTTGGACATCAATTAGTTACAATTTGACGTGTCAGTCTCATGTGGCAGGAAAGCTCGAAGTAATACATACCTTAGGCATTTACCACATTTGTGAAACGCACGGGTACAAGAATGGTAATTCGGACCTGCGTGTTTGCACGGCTTCAGAATGCAACTCTTCCCAGCAACTTGCCGAGCGTGCGTGGCTTGCATTTTGATGTGGAGCAATGAAGTACAATGTTAACCAGTCTTTGCGCCACTTGACATACCACACATTTCACTTTAAAACAAAGACAAAAACACACTTTGAATACATTGCAAATTGATGAATTTTCCATTCGATGTGTAATATGACTGAAAAGTTCAGTTAGGCAATTTGCAAAACGCAAAAATATTTCAGTCATTTTACAATTATCCAGTAGTCTCGAGGATGTCGAGGAATTACAGTGGGAGGAATTCCTTTTCTGCTCTCCTGTTTCAGTATAAAGTCAGGTCCAGTAACTGTTTGGTGCTATTTTCCCGAATCAAACATGCCCTTAACAAAGCAATACTACCGCCTTGCACACACACACTGCACAACAACAGGCATCGCGCAATGTCAGTTACAAAAAGAAATCCAAATGTCTTCGGGTTTCATTTTTAACTAGCATTTTCCAAGCTGTGTCTTCCAGTTGTCAGGAAAGTAGTATTTGAATCTGGCGGTTACTGACCATTATATTTCCCTGTATATTCTGATTCAGAACAGTTGCAGTTCTTCTCGCCTCTTGCCTTCATTGACAGGTCCCATGAACTTTGTTTGATGTTACTATCCGTTGATTGGATACTGACCTTGTGGGCGTGTGAAAGATATGTGCATAGATTAAACAATCACCGGAACCATGTCATGTTACAGTATGTTTTCCTACACTTAGAAATATTACAATTCAATCAATTTGTCTGCTTTGATTTATATAAATTGTTTTTTATTTAACTATTGCGGATAAAACATGTTTTGGTTGTCGAATACATACAGCTTGCACTTTGGTTTGTCCATTCTTACTCCAATGAGTACACAGTCAATCGTCAAATAACATTCAAATAACTTCCCTTAAATTTATTTCTGCCACATAGTTTTAAAATACATTGTTGTGGGTGTTATTATGCAAATAGAACCCTTTGCATATCCAATAGAAATCTCTGCATAAAGCTGAGTCGATTATACAATTCCGACTATATCATGAGCATGTGTTTATGAATCAGAGCAAGCAAAACAAGATACAAAATTAATGCAGTTTTCAGATGCTCATTGATGTTTTCACCAAACAGGAATTCTGGGTTAGAATATATCCCTCGTAACCAAAACCGGTTGCAAGAGGCGAGTAAATGAATCTTGTGGACAGGCTCAGAGACTTGGTTGATTGCGTCTCTTTGTACCGCACTGGCGTGAATTGACGTACTCACGACACACTCACGGCTCACTCTCTCCTCACTTACGACTCATTCACAGCTCACGACACACACACGACTCACGGCTCACTAGTACTCTCTCCTCACTTACGACCCACTCACAGCTCAAGACACACACACACGACTCACGGCTCAAACTCTCCTCACTTACGACTCACTCACAGCTCACGACACACACGCGACACACACACGACTCACTCACGGCTCACTCTCCCCTCACTTACGAACACACAAAGGTTTTGTATACAGCGATAAAAACAGATACTAGAACTGCACCGAAAACGTTAATTTGATGAACCATTCAAAAACTTAGATATTCACAAAATGGATTTCAAGATAATTACTTTACATAATATCGGCGTCAAAAAAACATTTCAACCATCCTGCTGATCCAATCACTACAAAACAGCTAAAGGCTAATTTTCTTGGTTAACCATTACAAAGCTGGAGACTTTAAAAGCACTGACATATTTTGAAAAGACTTTAATCCCTCAAACTGTTCATTCACATTTGTCAGTAAGGCTGTCTATCCCGTATTATCTGTCATTGTTGGAATCGATTTAGGTCTTTGCTGTGATCAAGGAAACAGCATGGAAGCATCATTACACCAGCATATTTAAGCAACTGTAGTAAACATGTCCTGCCTGAAGGTGTAGCCGAAATTATGAATGTATCTGTGAACGTGGGGTTGGAGAGAAGAATCAGTTGCCGTCAACAGGGATGTACACTCTCCAAAAAAAAGAATAAAAAAACGCACAGCTGAAAAAATAAAGAGTTAAGTCTCTGGATTGTTGATAAGAATCAGATGCTGTCAACAGGAGTGCATATTTGAGTGGGTGGATGAAGCCTTATCGCTGAATAAAAACGAATTTCGATGTATGTTTGTCCAAGATACACAGATATAGCAATTGCCAACTTGTATGCCTTAAAACAAATCAATACCTGCCGGCGGAGAATTAACAAATTAACTAACATTAAATCAATCAGGACTGTAAAATGGGTACCTGACTTTACCTGAAATACAGAGTATTACTTGGTCTACCCGTGAAGATGCGGGGGAGAATAGGTCTTCAGCAACCCAGTTTTGCTGTAAAAGGCGACTACACTTGTTGTAAGAGGCGACTATATGGGATCGGGTGGTCAGACTCGCTGACTTGGTTGATGCATATCATTGCATCCCAATTGCGTGGTTCGATGCTCATGATGTCAATCACTGGGTTGTCTGGTCCAGACTCGATTTATTTACAGACCGCCGTCATATAGCTGTAATATTGCTGATTGCGGCGTTAAACAACAAACAAACTTCATGGGGTGACAGTTTCTAGAAGGCTGGCGGCGCCCACATAAGGGCGACACGATAGTGATTCGACAACTGTTAACCACATGACTATTATACGGTGTGGCTACTTTCCAAAATTGAAGTCCAAATAAAATTTTCAGGTAGTTTTTCACACTGTTTCACCATTGAAAACACATAAATGAACGGGATCATAAGAACCATTTTCACTTTTATTGATACCACTGTAAATTTAAAGTTTTTTACATTGTAAATGTTCTTGTTTTTGTCAAATTGTTCTTTTGGTGGGTTAACACTTTAATGCGTTCTACTTTTGTTGCATGAAATACGACTGTTCAATGATCTTTCAAAATACATGTCTATGTTAAAAAAGGCCTCATCATTTCCTTTGATTTGCACTGAATTTAGTCGATAGAATAAAATATTTCAGAAATTATTACCTATTTCGTGAAAATAGGTGTTGGTGTAATTTTTGCATTTGTTGAAATGGAAACATGTAACATGTACCAAACCTCTTCCATGTGACCACAACCATACAGTTCTTAAACGGTAGATATAGTCCATCAAAAGAAAAATATGTTGTGACTTGTTATACCTCCGGTTGGCGTTCAACGTTCTGACTAGTTTATGGTGAGGTGAAATGGGGTTTAACGAGAAGATTATTGCACTTATATAGACGTGTGTGTGTGTGTGTGTGTGTGTGTGTGTGTGTGCTGCTGATACTAGTCCAGACTTATGCCGATTTATAGTGCTAGCTCACTGAGATACCATGCCGCAGTTTAACTGTGTTTAAGTCCCCACTCAGACACAGTATACTGACTCCGAGTCAACCAGTCCTTGTTTTAGCGCCTTAATGCCGAGCGCCATACAGGGTAACAACAAGTACCATATGTTAACGTGTTTTGGTATGACGCGACCGGGGATCAAACCCCGGACCTTTCACTCTCCTGGCGGACGCTCTACAACTAGACCACGGAGGCGGTCCTGACTAGTTTTTACATTACAGGGACAGGACGATTCGAGGTCCTTTCATCCTGACTTGTCTCTAAGTTACTTACTAAGTGCAGTTTGGATACCTAGTTCAGTATACCAAATTCCTGCCAGCTTCCGACACTTTTCTGGTTTGAACAACTCAGACAGGAATCTTTCCACTATTTAACGGGGACAGTATTTGCAACATTTCCGTGTGCACTAACATGATTCCTAGGGCTTGTTACTTAATCGCTGCTGCCACTGTCATTGTATAGACTTTTTTTTATTGTAAATGTACAACTGTATGTTACTATATGTATGTATGTATTGATATAATGACTTTCTCTGGTCATTTACTGATTTCACAATTTAGTTCCGTGGGTACCGACTTCTGGGCTTGTGCGTCAATTTAGATCACCTCGTAACAGTATTGACAGAGTTAGTGTGCTTAATCAATTAATCCATAGCAATGCAATCTGCAATCTAGTATCGATCTCATCCTTATGCGTCATTTCCCTGTTGAAGAAAGTGTGATCATATCAACATGAATTGTAGAAAGATGAGACATTCAGTGCATCTTTTGAACAGAAAATGAGTTTAGTTATGAGTGAGTAGGAGTTGACGCCAAGTTGTGCAATATCGTCCAGCCT